GTACTTTGTTACGTGCATTTTGTCACAAAAACAGTTCATTAAGTGTTGTTCCCATTAAGTTTAATCTTAAACTTAAGAACGTACGTGTGTCTGTGTGTATTGTCGTTTAATAAAAAAAGACTGTTCAAGTGGAGGACAAATGTGTCACGACTTAAAAACAACTCTTTACAGCAGATGAGCAGTTTCTGGAAGTCATGTCCTTAAGAAAAAGGAAAAAGGCAAACTGCCAGGTAATACAGTTTATCGTCTACTGTTGACAAGTTTCATCGGAAGTGCTCTTAATAGGATGACTGCCAAGAAGCCTTTATTAAGAGAAACGAGGAGAGGATGAGGTATGCCAAATTACACAAGCACTGCAATGAAAAGCTAGCTGTCATCATTGGAGGGAGATATGTTGAGTTTTTGTCACAATCATTATTGTAAGACACTAAAGTGAGATTCAACTAGAAAAACATGGATAAAGATAAAGCGATGCTAATGATTGTGACCACTGTTTATTTTCTAGAGTTTGTTGGGCTTGTAGATCACCAGCAGACTGTGTCCTATAATATATTCCATGGAAATATTTGCCATATTTTACTGTCAAGTGGTTTTATTAAAATAAGGTGGCTTTAGCAATTAGTCATTGTATTGTATCGAGCAGCCGTTCCCAATCCCGGGCCATGGATGGTACTGGTCCGTGAGTCGTTTGGTGTCGGGCCGCGAGATTTGAGGCTCGGGTGTAAAATTTATGGTTTTTGGGGTTTTTATCCTTAGCTCTGTTTTCCTGGGTCTTTTCCCGTGTTGTAGCAGTCTTATTTTGAAAGAAATATTTATGCGTTACCATAGCGACCATAGAGGAATAAGGGGCAGAGAGGAGGCTCTTGGTGCATTTCAGGAGGATGCTGCTAATAAAGTTACACAATTACACTAAATTCATGTTTATTGTATTTACAAAATACCACAGTGTGTCTAGGCCGTCATGGTTTGGTGTGTAACTGGTAAAGGTCGACCTGCTTCTTTCACGATATTGGTTTCATTTTTTTTACTTTTTTGCCCCCCTTGGATATGATCAAGGTGTTTGGGGTTTCAGTGGGTACTGTGCGTCTGCCAAAGATGACAAGTTCCTGCTGATTTTTAATTTTGACTTCTTGTTACCAAGTTGTAAATGATTTCAAGGTAAAGTATGTGTAGAGAGGCTAACCAGGGAGACGGGCCTCCATCATTTAAGTTTTCTGCTATTTTACCTCTGAATACTTCCTCTAATCTACTTTCACTCTGTCCTGTTTCCACCGTCTCTGAACACTTCCCCCGTCTGTCTTTGTCCTCGTTTGATCATCCATCAGTTTTAACTCCAACTCCCCTCCCTCCTTCATCCATTGACACTCAGCACCACGAATCGTTCTTAATGCATTTTGTTTCACACGCTGACTCCGTCTACCTCGTACAATACCTGCTATCCATCTCTGTCACTTTTTATTCAAAGCTATACACCAGTGTCCATTCATCAGTGCTGGGATCATTTAGAGAACACTTGCAGCAGGGAGCTAAATGTGTAAATGCTCCTTATGCTTTTTACAGATGCTTAAAGAAATGTGTGCGCATGCTTTCATGTGCATGCTGGTGACCTCTCCGTGTGCTAGTACAGTTCATTGACTTGGCTGCCAGACCTTATAAAACGGTGACCGCTCAATCTGTTACATTGGCTGCTACTTCACTGACTCACTGTGTGAGCGCAGGGGGGAAAAAAACACCAGTGCAATATGGAGTCACACACACTGGTACAGTACATGTGGGAATCTGTGTGCACTTGAAGTCAATGGAGGTGTGTGTTTACATGTCTGTTTGAAGGCTGCGGTGTGTTTTCTCATCTCTTTCCATGAGAATTCATCTATGAAGTCTTGGATCAAATAACTGGCTTCATGCAGGAGGTTGAAGCAAAGGTGAATAAGGCTGAAAACTGGCATTCTGGGAATGTGTGTACACAAAGTAGCCCAGCAGTTGTGCCATCACCAGAGATCAGGACATATAGCTAGTATGCACACATGTTTGCACGTGTTTAACATTGTAAGTTTTCTCTGTGCTTGTGAATGCTTTGAGTCTGTTTTTGGTAGAATTTGCAAGGTGTTTTCATAAATAGGCCTTTTTTCCCCCTTTTTTTTTTCTTTGAGGAGAAATCACTACTTTCTGAATTTTGTATTTTTATTTTATTTTTTTCAGTCTGTATTTGATGCATGTGAGTCTGCATATTATACACCTGATCTGTTTACTTGTGAGATGAGTTTTCTGGGGGCTGATGCAACTCTACAAGTTTTGGGATTAATAAGACATTTTAAGCAGGTGTCATTTTACTCAAATGGACAGTTTGATTACAGACCCATGTGCTAGCCTGGTTTTATTTTTCACTCTAACTGCGTTTCCACAACAGCGATGCTCTGTTCAAGTCTTATTTAGTTGCCAGAGTCTAATTGCTGCAATTTAGCTTAGGGCCATCTTTGTCTCTGCAATCAATCTCCGTCTTTTCCTCTGCCCGTTTGAATGTCTTAACATTTATGATCGCCAAATGGAAATCAAAGCAATCCTGAAGGCATTAAGCTGGTTTAACAATTAAGAACTAAACAAGCATGTTTGTTTAAATACAGGAGAGAAGCAATTTAGGTCCTTAATTTCTCTTGGTGAATTCATCGTAGTCTGATTTAAATAAAAAGCTCAACACTACAAAACAAGATTTGCTTTTCTCTGGTTTGTTTGGACATTTGATTACTTGTGGCCTTTACATTTTATTCTAACATTTGCGTTTTGCTTTTTCCGTTTCTCAAATGCGGTAGATTTCAAATGATGACAAAGCTTTGATTATAGGAATAATCACTGAGATGTTATCTGGGGAACTTGGGCTGGTCTGATTGTTGGTGTACCAACCAAACACATTGCTTTGCTCACATCAGGATTGTAATTTGTGTAAATCTGCCCAGTCTTGAAATTATGGGCACGATAATAAAGGTTATTTATGTAGCATTTATATTCCAATTACACTCTGTATGCAGCTCCCACTGGGTGAAATTAAACTGGTGCTGAGACAATCCAAAGTGGGAGTTTGAAAGATGAATGAATGGAAAGCGCTCGTATTGGCCTGCTAACATGCTAATTTCCATCAGAGGTGTGTTACTCTGAGAGCAGCGATGTACAGCTTTGAGCAGGAAAGCATTTGGAGTCGTGCAATTTCAAAGAATACCAATTACACAAGGTGATTATATAGTTAGATTTTGTTTGGGACAGTTACGATCGGGTGCCAGACTAGTTTCTTTTACAGTCATTCCAAAAACTCTGTAAGGAAGAAACATGAACTATAATAAACAACTAGTTCAAAAAACTGCAAATCCTGCTTGACATTAAAATCAAAGTAAAAATTGAAAAGAACCAGTTGGTGATTCTCCTTAGTGCCTTTTGTTTTCTGGAAACTAAGGTTAAAATGCAATTTTCCATAAAACAAAGCAGTTTTATATGGTGGATTTCATAGTTCTGATTAATAGAACATCATAACTGTGCCAAAAAGAGAATATTTGTTGGCTGACTATGTGAAAGTCGTGAGATGTAGTTTGCACTTTCTTTTTCTTCTTTTTTTGAAGGCTGTTGTCAGAAAGTGAGTCACATTAAGATGAAATATCAAAACCTATTCATCATTAATGACCTATGTGCCTCCAAGGTGCAGTATAAAATCAACATGTTTGTGATCTGCTGAACTGGTAGCTCCATTGTTATGCTTTTGCTTCCATGCACTGCACAGGGTTGACTGCACCTGATGTGCACTGTTGTGTTCGTTGGTGACGCTACTTCGATGTAGCAGTGGTCTAGCCCTTCAGAACATTGAGACCCAACACGCACCACAACGACTAATCAGAAATGGCTTTGCAACACAACAAAAAACAACAAAAACCCAGGGTGTTAAATCATCCTTAGGACTTCTCAGTTTCCAATCTGTCCAGCTGTCAGTGGTATATGCCAGAAGAAGCCCAGCTCGGGGCGGCACTATGGTGCCCACAGGACCCAAAGGTGTCCCTCCAGGTGCTAAACACAACAGGACAACTACTAGATTGCTTGACCATAGCCTGTAGGGTCAGACTTGTGTGAGTGTGAGAGATTTTAGATGCGTAGCTGTATTAGATCCTGGTCTTTTACACTTCTTATTTAACCATCATCCCTTATTTTCTTCATATAAACTTCTCAGACATCTTAATTGAAGATCCCCTTTCCAGTAGAAAGTAGTGATGGGAAAGCAAACTTAATACATTGGCAGTGAGCAGTTATCTGACCAATATTTGTGGAGCTTTTGATGGTATATGTCTCTCTCTGTGGATCCCATCTATCATTTTGGGTGTGGAGGTGTTAATATGTAATAAGCCCAGGGTGGAGTCTGTAATTAGCTCACAGTTTGTCATTTGCCCGTTCACATGCAAATGTTGGATCGGCTATAAAAGGAGACGCGAGTTTCCCTGCTATGCCCAAGGGCGCTTGGATAGAGTATGTGGGCAGTACCTGAACCACAGCTACCCCTTTGTCCACCCCTATTATGCTCTGTTTATGTTTTCCTTGTGGCACTTCTACACTGTGCACATCATTTAAAGGACATTTCAAGATCTCATCCCCAACAACATCGACACATTGGCGGTATAAAGTACACGACAAGGGTTGTGATTATAATTACAGTGTAGTAGATGAAAGGTGGTAGAGAAAATGGTGTTTGAGATTGAAATAAATCCCTCTTGATTAATGACCTGATTTTGCATTAAGGAGAGATGAAAACTGCCCTTTACACTCTAAACAAGTAATGAGGCTGATTCTTTGTGCTTTTACATGTAGTCATGTTTGCCTGAAGAGTAAGAAGGCCTTTTGTTTTTCTCCTTCGTGGCTCAACAGGATGAGTGGGTTTACCTGCTTGATTGTTTACACAACTAATGCTACCAGTACAACTTGGATAATTAAGAGCTATAAAATTGCTCTCTTGTGATCTTTTCTTGCTGCAGGTTGGATACGAGAATGCAGGAACTGTGGAGTTCTTGGTGGATAAACACGGCAAACACTACTTCATAGAGGTGAACTCCAGACTGCAGGTTGAACATACGGTCACCGAAGAAATCACAGAGTGAGTAGAAGTTCACCTTTTGTAGATGCTGGAGTCGTTGCATTTTGCATGTGTTTCTTTGGGGTGATTGGTCCATAGACCTGCCGATATGCTAAAAAATCAGGTTGTTGGTTGTGTTTTTTTTAATTGTTGAAAAATAAATAAATCAGTGGCTGTCTTGCAAGCTGCACAGAATGCAAAGCTGGGTCACTACTTCAGTCTAGACCTACATCTGTTTAGATAAAGAGAGAAAGTCTTGGTGCTTAATAAATGTACAGTCATGAAAAAATAATTCTCAGTCCTGTAAGAAGCTAAATATACTCTTACTGCTTCTGTAGATATTAAGAGGGTGAGCAGCAGCGAGGTTCTACTAATTAACTGCTCTTGATTAACTGATCAGCAGCAGGTGTGAGCGCACCTATAAAAGCAGGTTTTGGCAGTTTGCTGGGGTGCAAACTCGATGTCAATATCTTCTCACGGGTAAATGTCCCAGCACCCTAAGATCAGACCATTCAATCCTTAAAAATTAAAATAAATTAATCAATTCCTAATGGCATGTTTGGTAAAAAACAAACACCTCAAACTGTCAAGCACGGTTGTGGAAGGGTGGTACTTTTGGCTTGTTTGCAGCTATAGGACCTGGGCAGCTTGCAGTCAATGAGCCAGCTTCTCTGTGTATCAAAGTATTCAAGAGTCACATATGAGGCAATCTAATAGCTACTGTAACTGGGTATTTCAATAGAACAGTGAGCATAGCAGCAAATAAGAATGGCTGTACAGTCAAGGCGTTGCTGTGGTCCAGACCGCGAGCTGATTAAAATGCTGTGGTAAGAAAAAAACATATGTTGTGCATATGTTATATAAGTAGGTAATAATAATAATAATAATAATAATAATAATAATAATAATAATAATACTACATCATGTGAGCATCCAAATATTTAAAGAATGTTTAATCTTCGTCAGGTTTTTTGTAGGAATAATCAAGCTTCACTTTTGGCAGCATCAATGTAAAAAGCTTCCTGCTCTGAAAATTGTCTCAGGTAAAGGCAGTGAATGTTAGAGGTACATGGAAGAGGAGTGGAGTTTTAAGTACATGAGGAGGCAAAAATGGTCAAAAAGCAAGAAAGAGGGTGAAATGGACAAGACGAGAAAGAGGAGATTGACAGAAAGCTGACAAGTACAAAGAGATGGCTGCAGGACAGAGGTGATTAAGAAAGAGGACCTGAGCAGGTGGAATCAGTGAAGAGAGAAGCTGCAAGATGAGGTCAGAGGAGGGTCGAGAGACAACAAGTTTAAATGGGACAGGAGAGAACGAGAGGATAATGAAAGATATAAATAGCATTCTGCTCTACTGATGACCTGTGAGATTTGCTCAGCTGAAACAACACAGATGAGACACAACATAAGACACAAATGCCAGATAGGTACAGATCCATTGGCACTGGAGTTGCACAAAGACTGACAAATCTTGGTTTTAGCACTAATGTGTGTACACACAGAAAACCACAATTAGACTAATTAATGTAGGATTTTCTGCCTAATTTGCTGCATTAATAAACGGAGCTGACACACTAACCAGTGCTACTAACACTAAGTTATTGGCAGATGGTGGAAACAAAACATCTGCTGCACGTGGCAAACACATGACTGACAACTTGATTTCTTTCTTCTTAATCAGTTTCCACACTCTTGTCTTGCATTAGCTTTTCTTTCTGTTGGTCTTGTTTTTTCTTAAAGGATTGAGGGATTTGCATTGCAGCACAGTTAATAAGCTCTGAGTGGAGGAAAAACATCAATAAATATTTGCTATGGTGGTAATTTAGTCAAAGAACTACTAGCATTGGAAAGGTCTTCTGAAACCATTCATTACTCTGCGTTTAAGTGTGTGCCCTTAAATTGTAGGTAATTGCACTAATTATTCGAAAGACGACATTTAAGGTTCGGCATTTCTTATCAGTCCAGATTTTGGTCGTTTAAAGAGAAGTTTGCGTTCAGGGTTGTCTGACTAGGTGAGAGCTTGCTTTATTCAAACCAGAAATGTATCAAGAACTCTTGTGCCTAAAACTTGGAGCCAGAAAGACTTGAAAGCCATTTTATTAGGTACAAGTTGATAGTTGTACCTAAAAGACGGTCCACTTTCAGTGGTGCTTTATCTTGCTGGAAATCAAGATGTGTACACTGTATTAAAGGGATCGATGTGATCAGCAACACATGTGCAGTTTTTGGTGAGCCTGTATTATATCCTTAGTTTCTTGTTCGAGCAAACAGGAGTGGCACCTGGTGTGGGCTTCTGCTGCTGAAGGCCATCAGCTTTAAGGTTTAACGTTGTTCGGAGATAGCCTACGGGCTTCCAATCAGCTTGAAGCAGTCTGGCCATTCTCCTCTGATTTCTGGCATCAAAAAGGCATTTCTACAGAACTGCTGCTCTCTAGATATTCCCTCGTTTTCTGACCATTCTCTGTAAATCATAGAGCGATTTGTTTAGAAAAATCCCAGTAAAGTCGGTCAGCAGCTGCTGCTCAGTGAAATTCAGAAGGCCATCACGACTGTGTCAACATGCCTAAATGCATTGAGTTGCTGCCATGTGATTGGCTGATTAGATATTTGCTTTAACGAGGAGTTGAACAGGTGTTCCTGGAAAAAGTGGCTGAGTGTATTGCCTTGCCAGTGCCCCTAAGAGGTACAGTTTATTGATTTAAGCCCCTGGATATCCCGTGCCCACACATGCAACATGTTTAGATATCTTCCATGGACTTGAAGTGGGCCATGTCGTTTTCAAACCCTGTGTGTGTGCAGATTGTTCATCATTAAGTCCTATCAAAAATGTCAAATAGTTTATTTTCAAAAGCGCTTTGCTTTTTTTCTTCCCCCCCCCCCTTCCCTGCCTTGGCTAAGCTTAATAGTTTATAGTGTTGTAAATAACTGTAATTGTGCGAAACAAAGGCAGTAACCTTCAGAGGTAAAAAATGAAGCCGCTGTGGAATAGCCATGCCCTTAAATATTCAGTGAGTCATTTCCCAGGCTCTCACATTAAAAATGCCAAGTGTAACAACAGAATTAAATGTTCCATGTACAGCTTTTAAGAGGTTTTGGTCTCCAGCTAGCTTCTCTCTGCATTCACAGCTTTATGGTGGGTCATTTTATGACTCTGGTGTTTTTAAACGGTTTATTATGTGCTTGTTATTGCCCTTATATTTGCATTATTAGGGGTGCAGATGCTTTGGCTTTGCACAAGTTGGTAATTTGAGTTACTGAACTGGGCATGTTGGTGGTGTTGGTGTCTTTTGGACTTGAAGTGCAGAGAGGTGGTTAGTGTGTCAATAATTGAAACGATTCGTTTGCAGCATGTACATACCAGAAAGAAAAGATGGCAAACATGGGTCTGCTCATAAGAACACTGAAACAAAAACTGCTCAACATAAGACTGATGCACTAATATTAGAAACATTCCTACTGTGCAAAAGGCACCAAAAACCTTTGAGTTTACATAAACATATCTTTAATGTGTTATCTTTTTAAACAAACCAATTCTTAGATCCTGATCTGCTTTTTTCTCCTTTAGTCATGTCGCCGTATGAATGATAAAAACTAAGCAGAGCTATACTGGGATAGTCTTTAGGAAGCAATAATGTTAGAATAAGATGGCATGTATATAATAAGTCGTGCATTTCATATTTGAGGAGCAGATATTGCCGTGATGTAAACACGTACTGCTGTACTGCTATTGAGTGCCGTGCCAAGTCCAATATATTTGAAACTGGAAAGGGACGCCAAAGAACTGTGGCAATATCATACTAACATTTCATCTGCTTTCAACTCAACAAGGACGTCTGTATTATTGCATCATTCTGCATTATTTGTGAACACCAGATAATATGAGCAATACTTCTACATTGTATATCCATATTTTTTATCCCGTTATTTCACTGCAACCTCATCCACCTGTCCCCTGCTTGTATCAGCAAGACAATAAACTGACACAGTCATTCTCATGTATTACGGATCCCCTCTTATCCGTCCTTGCAGCAGTTTGTCATATTTTGTTCATCCTGCAGAGAAAACCCCATATAGCTGAGGAAATTTGACATTTTGCGGAATTGGGGTCATTTGAATTGGCAGGAGTGCAGTAATTACTTGAATCTGGGCAGCTCTCCCTGTGAAACGTGTTTGAAAGTTTCAGCTGTCACACGCACAGCTTTCATTTCAGGTTTAGCTCAAAGCAGCCAGGGTAGGGTTACTCCCGATGACGGCTGGAAAGAGAACAGTGCCTGAAAAGGTGAAGTTCAGTGTATATTCGTCTTAATTGTAGAGGAAATGTACTTTTGAGACTAACATTGCATTTGCGTGCAAACGACAAGTGAAAACTGTATTAGGGCTTTACTGCGTCCATTCATCTTTGAGCTCTCCGTTTCACTTGACTGCACTTCCAAGCTGAGGTGTGAGCACATTAGTTCTTGTTTTCATGCGAAATGCACTCTTATTAACAGACTTGTCAGGGAAGTATTTTACCAAGTTCTGAAACTCTCTGCTGAACTCGCCGTTCATTCCCCCGCGCTCTTCCAACATTGTTTTTCACCACTTTAATATCTTCAGTTTAATTCATTCTGTATTCTCTGTTCAATTTAGCTTTCTCCAACCTGGCTGCAGCAGAGTCCTAGTTTAATTTTATACCTTAATCCTCCCTCTGCACGCTCATTCAAAACATTTATGTACGTCAGATGGTCACCATGCCAGTAAGCCTACAATCATGTAATTGGATTATCTCCCTTAAATTAGTCATTCTTACTCCACATCTTTATTCCTTATCTCTTCTTTCTATGTTTGATGTCTGTCACTTTTTGGGTTTTCTAGTTTTCCTCTTTCTGTCGTGTATGTGTGGATTACTGGATGTCCATTATCACCTGTAATCCTTGGCAGGCTTTGCGGGAGTTGATGCTTCATGTAATGGTGCTCATATCATTTCCACTTAAAAACGGCAACATAAGTCCACAGGTGTGGGTTTCTCTTCGTGTATGTAG